CTGTTTTCATGTACTCGTCGTTATCTTGTAGCCCTCGAAAGGGTTTTGGAGGTTGATGCCTCGTGAACGTGAGTTGTTTGGCTTTCTTGTCCGCAGCAGCAGAAAGCATTTTCGAATGTTTAAATGAATCAAAGTGGGTCGTCACCGTCGATTTTCTCTTATGCTCCAACACACAGTTGCACGGGGTGCAGAATAGTTTCCCCCCACTTTTTGCCCGGTCTTTAGTAGAAATGTTCATCGGTAAATGAGATGGATTAGATATTTTCATCTTGGTGTTTTCTCTATCGTGTGAGCACACACACACACACACACACACACACACACACACACACACACACACACACACACACACACACACACACACACACACACGTACACGACACGACGACGACCGACGACGNCGAGCTGATGACGTCACGTCAAGACGAGTTAACTTTTTTTTTTCTCAACTTTGTGTGGAAAAATGCGGGGATTATGCGGCCTTTTGATAAATATGCGGCCTTTTAGAAATCTGCGCCATTTTGCTGATTATGCGGTAAATTCTGCGATCGCAGAATCGCGTTTTTCTGGAGGGTCTAATTTATGACCGGTTACGCATGTTGGTCTGTAGGTTAATGTATGGTCTTTCAGTTTGTGTTATATGAGCGCCAAAAGGAAGCTGTAGGTCCATTTACCATTTACAACTCATCTTCTAGGGAACATGAATGTTTGTAGCAAATTTCACATCAAGACTTTAACTTCTTGCCAGACATTTTACTCAAAATGAATGTCAACTTGCTGGTGGATCTAGAGGTAAAGGTCAAGGGATCACAAAAGTAATTGGGTTCATTTAATAGGGTCCTCACTTATCCGTACCAACTGTTAAGGCATCCGTCCAAATGTTTCACTCCAATCCCAAAAAGTCAACATCATGTTGGCAGATTGGGGAAGATTTGGTGTTAAATGGCATTTTGCAGGCTTTGATCTGCCATCACATTGCTTCCATGATATATATACATCAGCATACATATACTATCTAACAACCAATGTAGCCAATCTCAAATATAAATACAATGAAATGTGCACACTCGGAACAAAGAAATATAATCACCTCTTGAAATGCTATGACTTTCTTTTTGCGAAAAAAGCTTTGACAGTTTGAGAAGTACAGTTCGTGAAAGTAGCCTTCTGACTTTCTTGGACATAATTAACCTTTCTGTGGCATATTATGAATACAAAAAGGAGTCTGTCAATACAAATAATGTTGTGTTATGTATTTCCAATGAACTCTGTGACCCCTTTAAATAAACAACCATGATTTGTGCTATTTCTGCACTCTAACAAGTTACAAATCAACAACTCATTGGACATTTGAAAACCCTCCATTCATTGCCTGCAGAGAAGGCATTGTTTACTGATGGTTCTCTAGTATACTTAAGTTTAACCTCAAGTGCATTCTGAATAACAAATGTAATAATAAAAGGGTCCAAGCTAGCGTATATCTTAAGACAGGAAAGGGATGTTTGTTTACAGCCTGATTGCAGAAGTTTCTCTAGCCTTGGCCTTTACAATAGCCATACACCATCATTTCAATCGGCACGGAATGAGAGCTGCTCTGAAAGGCGTGAATACAGATCGGCCTTGACTTGATGCGATTATGGAAGTGCCAAACAGAGAACGTTTATTCACAGTGATAAACGATAAGTGATAAACATCTCTGTAATTGCCCACCGCATGGTGTAGGGGAGTGAAAATAGGTACTTGTCTAAGTTGTAGATGTCTTCACAAAGCATGTCATTCTTCTTCTTTTTTTATGTGTTACAAGGGAAATAAAATGTTTCATTATAGACGTTAGAATGTATTTGCTTAATTTACAATTTGACCTATACGAGTTCCACATTAGCTGGAGCTGAGTAACAGCCATTGTTAAATCCTAACAGGACACGGTCATAATTTCATCAGCAACATTAGGGCGTATTCATGTTCTGACAAATCTCTTTGATGTTGAGATCTGGCTTCTTAAGTACAGCAAACTCATCTATTTGCACACTAATATCACTGTGTGCTGAATTGAATTCCTCTAATGTTCTTTTCGTAATGTTCGGGATAGCGTCCTTCATCCCCCTTACTCAGTTCTTTAGAGTCCAACAATGATTTATAGTAATGCCCCCACAGGTTCATTTCCTTGTTTGCTGTATTATTCAGTCAATGTTTTAATTAAAATACTTGTGGTAATTGGCCGATTATAGCCGTTTAACCTGAGACAGGCGGAGAGTTACAGGAGCTATTCTAAAAGCATTTGGTCCCTTGGGAGTGAAAGACACACAGTTAAATTATGAATGTTGAACATGATTACCATCACGAAAAGAGCTTTTGTGGTTAAGGAGGTAAAGAGAAGGTTGTGATTTGTTTATTTATCTTAATTTCCGTAGGAGTTCACCTATAACACATTAACCACTCCTAAAAATTCTCTACTATTTTCTTTGCAGTTCTGTTTGGTATTCCTTCCCTGGCAACAGCCTATCTTTTCAATTCCATAAATGATGTACGTTAGTATATTTTTAAAGGATTGAGGCCTTTCTTTGGATGGTTCAGGAAATACCCCTGAGTTACAATTAAAGGAAAAACTTCAGTATGCACAGAACATCACCAGGACGGAGCTGCCATCCATGTAGGACCTTTACTCCCAGCGGCTCAGGAAGAAATTCCTCAGGATTATAAAAGACCCCCATCGCCGCAGCCACAAACTGTTCAGTCTGCTGCCGTCTGGCAGGCGCCACCGCAGCATCCGGACTAAAACCACCAGACTCAGGGACAGTTTCATCCCACAGGCCATAAGACTGTTAAACACCTGAACTGTTGAAACTATTTTCCTAATATATGATATTTCAATGACTTGCATATAGACTCTTATTGCACTATTTCAATGCACTGTTGGAGAAGCCTGTGACACAAGATTTTAATCGACATAACTACACTGTAGCTATGTTCGTTGGACAAATAAAGAATTTCTCCAAATAGCAATGTGAGTGCAAAACATTCCAAAACCACCAATTCCTTCAAGTAGACACTGATCTACTGTTTGACAGGTTGCTATCATTTGAAAGAGTATCACATCTCTGCCCACTATGCTATGCCACAGTTGCCCCATCTTCAACTATGGGTGTTATACTTTTCTTTCTTTTTTAACTACCGGTACATTACATTCAGGTATTCAACATGACACCAGGAAATTAATTAGCATCAACAAATTCCTAAATTAGATAATAACAATTAATGGGAAATAATAGAATGGCAGTTCCAAGTAAACCTCAGGCTTTGGTTCATAGCATGATATGTAAGACAGTATTGTAGATCAAACTTTTGGAGGAAGGCCCTTACTGTACATGTTAAAGAAGAAAATGAACCCATGCACAAAGCAGTGATTCCCAAACGCTGATACACAAGCTTCTGTTTTAAGGTTTGCAAAAGTCTTGTAAAAAAGATCTAACAAATGCACTCCATCAGCTCTGCTTACTCTTCTTAGCCCTAAAGTATAGTGACAAAAAGGGCCTAAGCTTAGGTTGAGCTTACTTTTAAGCTGGACCTTTGTACATCAGCTGCAGAGTTTGACTGGAGAGTTAAAAGAAAGGACACTGCCAAAGAATTTGGTGTCCATGGCAATAGCAAAAGTGTGTATTTGGCAATATTTTGGATACAAGACCTATAGAAAATGTACAAAAGTAATGCAAAAATGAGTAATAAAACCTGGAAATGATAGCTGTAGCGGACAAAATCATATACAGATGGAGCACTGAATTTCAGACTCCAGTTTACAGCTTCCTGCCTACGACCAGCCAAAGACCAGTATAGACTATACTGGTCTTTGGCTGGTCGTAGGCAGGAAGCTGTAAACTGGAGTCTGAAATTCAGTGCTCCATCTGTATATGATTTTGTCCGCTACAGCTATCATNACAAAAGCTACTCTTCCTGGTCCGACACTTAAAACAATAGAACAATAAAACAACAACATTCAAGACATAAGTCCTGACATCATTAACAACATCACCAATATCATCAACAATCTCCACCATCATCAACAATCTCCACCAT